CAGTTCCTTGAAGAACTTGACCATCCCGAAGTCAGTGACCCACATTGGAGAGAATGCCTTTCGGGTTTGCGGTTCCTTGAAGAAGTTGACCATCCCAGACTCAGTGACACACATTGGGCCAGAGGCTTTCAGGGATGGTCTTTAGCAGACGTGATCATCCCGGACTCAGTGATCCACCTTGGACAGGGTGCCTTCAAGGGTTGCCACCTTGCCGCGTCCGCGTACGCGAACTTGACCGTCCCAGACGGCACGCTCCTACCCGTGGATTGTACGCGGCCCGCGGGGAAGGAAGCACTGCGAGGTCGGTCCAGGTAGGCTTTGGGGGTTCTGGGGAGCTAAAACTTCGAGGGGTCGAAGGTAGGGGGGCATCATGTGGGGTTCTGGGGCCCGTTTGAAGCTTGTTTTGATAGGAAAAGACCATATTTTGGGTGGTCCAAAATAGAGGTCACTTAGTATTAAAAATAGGCTCTATAGGTATTTAAATACCAGGACCTTCCAACAAGATCCAACGTGTGGTTCTTGGAAACCCCGAAGCACCTCTTTACGAGGCTATTTATTGACACGGGTGCTGGTATTATTGTTAAACATACCATAGGAATTTCTAGGGAGATCCAAAACCAATGGGTTGTGGTCTATTTGCCTTCCATGGGGTCGAACGGGAGGTCTCCCTATTAAATACACATGATACACACGTCGATCCAGTGAACAGTGCAGGGTGGTGGGATTTTCCTTCTTTGGGGGGCTCACGATGCCACTCCATGCAGCGGTACGTGTGATTTCCGAAGTGCTGTGACCCCACAACGAGGTCGCCGAGAGGGTGGGGGAGCTGTAGAGCTTTTGAGCATTCACACCTGGACCCTCCAGTCTGGTGATTAATAGGTGTCCAGAAACCCACCTAAAATAGGTTCCTAACACCACCTGTTGAAAGGTCCTGACCTGTCTCAAGCCAGACCTGATGTTCAGTCACTTCTAGAGCTTAGGCCCTTTTTGCTGTCAGACCCAAAGGGTTGGTGGACCTGCAGGAGAAGGTGCTCTTCGTGCGCAACGTGGGCGCGTCTGCCAACGAAGAGGAGGTGAAGGAGGCCTTCCAAGAGCAAGGTGAGGTGATTAGTGCCTTGGATACCCAGTCGACCGGTTTGGGTTTCTAGGATCCCCAGTCGAACGCCCATCAGCAGGTCACCAATGGTTCGACCGGTTTGCAGGGCCCCCTTTTTCGAGCCTCTGAGGAGACCTGGCAGGTCTCAGTGCTGCATGGAACACCTCAACGGAATGGATCCCTCCCCGCCAGACCAAACCAGCCGATGGATCCACATCACCCGTCGACCAAACCCACACACGGCCCCTGAAGGGGACCCCCTTCCCAGAGGTCGAACGACCAACCGTCGTTGGTCCCCAAAGCGTCGTTGGACCACCAGACGCTCAATGCTCTTGGCCTGCTCTCAGACGCTCCTGGACCCGAACCTATGCAGGGGTTAGACCCGAATCCGAACTGGTCAGGGGTCTGGACCCGAACCAATCCCTATGGTTTTGAGGGACCAGTCGGGCTGTTTGGAGCGTCTGGGCTATACACATCTATAAACGATATTCCCAGGACCTTCCAAGAGGTGTCATGCAAATAGCATGACTATCGCCTCTAAGACTCTAAGAGGTGAGGTGAGGTTATGCGAAATCCCATGGACGCACCGAACTTGGTGGCAGGTCCATGGGATCGTCGAACGTTCAGGTTCTTCAACCAGTACCAGGACCTTCCGACAGGTGGTTTTTGGACACCCCTTAACCACTAAGAGGCTATTTATGGACACCTCTTGGTGTCGGCCCTGGTAGAGGACGTGTTTGGTGCATGCGCAGCCGCTGGAAACAGCCGGATCGAACCATCGCCATGCGCAGCCGCCCAGGCGTGCGGATGCCCAAGACGAAAGCCACGCACAAGGGCTACGCCTACGTGGAGTTCGCCCATGACGATGCCGTGAAGGTGCCGAAAGACGAACGACGCGCCTTTCTCGTGGCCTGGATCGGTTGGCACATCGACCAGGTGTCGACTACCAGAGGTTTTTCTGGTTTGGGGTGGTGACTCTCCGTAACTCACATGGTTACGTGGATGGCACCACCTGTTTGTGGAACATGGGCTTCCTTACGGGGTCATTCTCCACGTAACCATGTTAGTTTCCAGGGAGTGTAATGGCCTTTAACCTAAGGAGCTACAACTATAGACACCCCTGGGCCGGCCCTGGTAGGAACGACCATGCTATAGACCCCCACGAGCCGACCGCCCTTTTCGGCCTGGACCACGGGCCGAGTTCACGCCCCCGTCGGGCCGCTTGCTCACGATCCACGAGGCCTCGCTGGCCCTGGATCCGGCGCCCAGCATCGGTGGGCAAGTGGTGAGCCTGTCCAGGCGTCCAGCATCGGTGGGAAAGTGATGGGGAAGTGATGGGCAGGTTGTGGTGGTGCTCTGTGCTCATGGCCAACATGCACCTGGCGTTTTTCAGCCTCTCACCATCTCGCCCACGTTCCTCTCTCCCCCTCCGGGTTTCACTCCATCCATACACCGCCCTATCCGCACCACGTGGCTCCGCACCCGTGCACCTTTGTTTTGGCAGGTCGATTCCGATGAAGGAGCACCGGCACACCACGGCCGGCACGCGGAAGGATCTGCCGCAGCGGGTGAACCAGCGGCTCATCGTGGAGGGGAAGTTGGATCGTGAAGATCCGGCGTCCTGCCTGAACTTCCTCTGCGGTGGAGCGGATGGTGGAGCGGATGTTCGAACAGGGCGGCCTGGGCGGAGGAAGAGGAAGGGTACATTCTTTTACAGAAGGGGGGGTGAGGGGGGGGAGAGTATGCATATTGTAGAAACGCGCGTTTTTTGCACTCTCTACTATCTGCTGCTGAAATGCTGAAAATTACAATATAAACAAACAATCTCTCTTGCATTGATAGGCTTGTGAAAGTTGTTCTTTTGTAAGCATTGATAGGCTTGTGAAAGTTGTTCTTTTGTAAGGTTTTGTTCTTTTTGGTGAATGATGTCGTTTTAATAGGGTGGTGAAATTTGTAAATTTCCTGCTCTATATGCAATTGGCAAACATATTTATTCATTCAGTTATGAATTCTAAAAATGATTAAATCCATAAGCTAGGTGTTTACCAAATAGTCCCCATGCAAAATCATGTTTCTTTCTTTTAGAGTGGGAATTGTATTGCTCTTATTAAATGCAGTTGGGTAAATACATCAGAATTAGAAGGCAAATAGTTATAAATCCTAAATAACTAAATTCTATTTTAATTCTTATTCAATTCAAATTCAAGTCTATATGTAAATTCAGGATCAATTCTATTTCAATTATATTTCAATTCTATTTTGCTTCAAATTTCCTTCATTGGGATTCAATGCAAGCCAAATTATAATTCGATTTTACCTTTAATTTCATTATTATATAGTTCAGATTCAATTCTAATATTTCATTTGTGTTGAATTAAAATTTGGATTTTATGAAATTCGCATTTATTTCTAGGGAATTGATCTTGCTTTGAACATAAAAGATTTTAATGAAATTTTTCCAATATGGAAGTATATTCTTTCTTTAATGAAATATATTCATACCACCAATAATATATTCATTCTCTAGAATGGAAGCAAAACTCAAGTAGAATTCCATTTGCATTGAATTGGAATCAAGTTAGAAAATTAGATATATAGATCAATTGAATTTAAATTATATAAAGATGTTAACATTAGAAATCATTAACAAATCAATTGGAAATTGGAATGGACACAATTACAATGTTTAATGCAAAACAAAAAGACATAGAATTAAATGAGAACTAGATTGGAATTGCATGAATAATACTAAATCACAATCAATTACTCAAATTGAAATTGACCTAGACCTAAGGTAGAATTGAAGTAAAGATATTTAACCTAGGAATTAATTAATGGAACAATATTGCAATATTGATATAAAATTAGGTTACAAATAATTCAATTTAATGAAAATCGCAGATTCAATTTGAATTCCAATAAATAGAATGCACATATATTCAATTTAGAATTAAATTGGACATATATTGCAAATTCACATATAAATGCAATTTGGAATTTAATATTAGATCCAGAATAATCAAAGATAATTACAATTACAACAAAATTAAATTAGAATAAAATTGAAGTATAATTTGATTATAATGAATTTTAAAAATACATAAACTTAATTTAGAATTTAATTAGGTTCAATTTAGAATTAACATAGAAGTCTATTACATATTCAAAACAAATTCAATCTAAAATTCATTTAGATCCAATTTTATTATCAATAAAAATAGACATGAAACAACTTCAATTAGAATAAATAGTGATTTAGAATTTAGTTAAATTGTATTTAAGTCAAAATTCATAGAATTAAATTAGAATTGAGTTAATAACTATTTAGA